CTACCTGGAGAGCCACAAATTTGCTATCCTGCCCTATTCCCTAAAATTCACCCTCTAGTAACATTCTTATCAAACCAGTACTCAGGCACCATGAAATAAGAAGTGCTTGCACATGAAAGCTTATACGAGAACAAACTTAGTTGGTTTATAAGGTGCTACTAGACAATTTTTTTATTTTTATAAAAACACAAGCAATTCATAAAAAATAGACAAAAAACTCCATATAACAGAAGTAGAACACGCTGGTAGTACACCAGCAGCAAAACAACATAATCATAGCCCATCAAAAAAACTGGGGCGGCGGTGCGGAACTGAAACAAGATATTCAAAATTGTTTATTGGTTTCAAAGTGTTAGCAGCCTTGGAATTCAATGGAAGGTGGGATACAAATGTTCTTAGTCAGGCTTTTCCAACTTGATGCCCTCCAGATGTAGCTGGACTCGGGGATGATGGGAGGTGGAGACCGACAATAACTGGAGGGCACCAGGTTGAGGAAGACTGCTTTAAACAGAGATAATCATACACTTCCACATAGGAACCTCACCCTTTCCTTGAGAAGTGCATCCCCTTGATGAACGTTTGTCAAAGGCCCAATAGCAGCTCCGCTTCCTGGAACAGAACAAGACACCCAGAGACAGACAGTGAAAAAGTTTGATGGTGCCTTTTTATTGCTTCTTCTTGCCAAGGCACTTCTGTAACTTGGCTTCAAGCACTGATAAGCCAGTCTCCCCACCCCACCCCCCACTTCTGCCAACTCATTAGACAATAGCAATTTGGGGACAGAAGTGCCAGAGAGAGGGTAGGGAGGAAGTACAATGCTCCATTATTATTCATCACTTTGGTTTTCTTGTAAGTGCTTAAAGTATGGAAACTAAAATACACCAGCAAGTGTAGCTGACACCTTCCAGGCTTAACTGCCATACATTTTGGAAAGCTGCTTGTTTGCTTGGATACATCTTAAGATATATTAAACAAATTTTGCATGCTCGTTCCTGTGATCGGGTAGCATATTTTTGTCTATGTTTGGATACAATTGGATGCTGCACCTTTCAAAACTGCACTGATTTCAAAACTGCACTGACTCCTTGATTTCTTAGAATTTCTGAGCAACGATGGGTACAAGACTGCTAGTTGAAATAAATGCTAGATTTTACATTTGAACACAACTACACATTGCAAATTTGAAAATATGTAGACTTTGGATTGTGTCGCTGCTATTAAGCAGAAATCAAGTAGTGCACAACAATCTGTTGTTATTATTATTATTACTCATCACCAGCTGGTCCCAGGGTGGGTTACAATTTAAAATTCAGAAAAATAGTTAAAACTTACAGCATTCACAAGAATGGGGGTGTGTGTGTGTGTCCTAAATTCTCTCACCCTTCAGATCCCTCCCCAAAATTCTTCTGTAAAGCATTTGGGCTCACTCCCAACCCAAGTAGAACCATTCACCTCTTGTTACTCTTCTCTCTCTCTTTATTGCACATTCTATTCCTTTCCCTCTTCTATCCCTTTGTTTTCTCTTGCACATATGACATTTAGATTGCAAACTCCTTGCAGGCAGGGACCTGTATTTTTGTTTACGACGGTCTGCGGAGCGTGCCACAATGCCACCATTTACAAAATAAATAACCACTGATACCTAGAACCGCACTACTGAGCCTTCCAAGCAATGCGACAGAAGGCTTAGGGCAATACCTGGTATTGGTGCAGAAGGCTTGATGAACGCATCAGGAGAGAAAGAAGGTGAAGCAACCGGCCTGCCCCAAGCATTTACAGGCCTTTTCCTAAGTGGTGGATGTGGCAAAGTCCCACTTCCGCCATAGGACCAGCTGCGGCTAATGGGCGGGGACCTTTGAGACTGAAGGGATGGAAACTGAGAAGCAGCCACTGGTGAAGGAGGCTTTGTCTCTGTGACTAAATGTAGCTGCCCTGGCCAGGCTACACGGCGACTCACAGGAGGAGGGCGGGAGACCTATGGGAGGTATAAGTTTTTAAAAGTCCATTAAAATAATAAAATGTAGGCATAAATCAAACCCTCCCAATAAAGTCTTAGAAACATGGATAAAACAACCACAACAACAGATTCCATGTATTGATTATAGCATAGTATCTTATACACACACACACACACACACACGTGTATCTTCAGATAAAGACCCTCTCCCAACCAGGTAGACCACTGGGATAGGTAGAACTCTGCTTATCATTTTAGTTTATATGAGAAACATCCATCTCAAATAGGTCTCAGTTGCCTCAGGCATAATATGGAAAGCTGTATAAATAAAACTGGCATTAAGTGCTTCAAGTGTACTTGGGTTTCAATGCACTAAGTGCTGTCTGAGCAACATGGCAATCACTGTGATACAACTCAGGTTATTGTACATGTTTAAGACTGATGTGCTAGAAGCAAACAGCAGGGTATAAAGGGGCCTATGAAAAGCATTAAGCAGTGACCTTATAAAACGAATGACATCACCTTTACCTGAGGTCCATTTTCTAGCACAAGCTCAAAGGCTGTTCCATTGGAGCCAAACCGCAAAATGTCTCCAGGGCTCACTTTCACTGCCGCATTCTGAATGTGGCAATCATTAACAAACGTTCCATGGGTTGAGTTGAAATCCCGGAGAATGAAGCTGTTTTCTGAATCGCTGAATTCGATGGCTGCATGGTGCTCTTCAATCCCTAGAGACTGAAAGTTACATTTCAAAACTCAGCAGCATAAAAACTTCCTGGAGATACAGACTTGTTCAATACTACTGCTTGATACGTGTTTCTCAAACCAGCTTCACGCCTACTGGAGTCATTAAGCAGTTCATAATTCACCTCTAGTCAAGGTGTGAACACCTTTGCATAGGCATCCCAGCTCTGTCAGCTTCCCCTGTTGTGTACAATTCTGACACTAATGAAACCATACTGATGTGAACAGCTAGGGGGGAAGAACTGTGACATGCACTGAAAAACAACAACTTCACTGCTCTCTATGGCGGTAAAGTAGGCTGTGAGAACCCCTGATTTGTAGTAACTAAGATGTATGTTCCAGGATATGCCTCTGCTTTGCTCTCTGTCTCTTTCTGTCTCTCACTCTCCCCACCCCACTCCCTGCTCCCTATTTTGCATCTTGCTCCAGTTGGTGGACCCAAGTTGGGATTTTTAGTAAAAAGTGAAAACAAATAAGAAATTAGATCCTAAAAGCCACAGAAGTCTACCCCAGAACACAGTCTGAAAGCCAACAATTTGGTGCAGGTCCCATCATCCTTAGCCACTGGCTATGCTAGCAGAGGCTGATGGGAATTGGGGCCTAACAACATCTGGAGGGAGACAGAACAGTGAGCTTCATGGCTGAGCAAGGATTTGAATCTGTATCTATGGTTCTGGGTCATGGGTGTAGCCAAAGGGGGGCAGGGGAGGGAGTTGACCCCCCAGAGCAAGTAAAACAATAGAAATACTTAAGTAACTGACCAACTCTGTTAGTTCTTCCCATCCTAACAAAAATCCTGGCTATGCCCATGTCCTAGGTCCATTACTTTTACCAAGGGGTGGGGAACCAGTAGGTGCTCCAGACGTTGCTGGGCTCCAACTCCCATCAGCCCCAGCCAGCATGGTCAACAGCCAAGGATGGTGGGAGTTGTAGTCAAACAACATTTGGAGGGCCAGAGCATCCCCATCCCTGCTCCAACCACCGTACCTCACAGGCAATTCTGCACAAGCTAAGAAATGACGGTTCTAAAACGTGGTAAGACATTTAACAGCAAATACAATAAGCAGAATCAGTTAATCTGATAAAATCACCTTCAGGATGATGTCAGAGTCTTCATGCCTTCCTATAGTGGTTATCTTTGGCCTCAGTGCCAAAATGCCATCAGGACTCTTCAGAAAAGCCTTCATGGTGTTGCCTATAAAATGTATGCAAAAAGCAGGTTTGAATGCTCATAGGAGAGAGCACAGCCATGAATATCATTTTTTGTTTTGTGGTAATGCTGATAAAACAAAAGGTTGTTTGATAGCACCTGCTTGCGAAATGCCTTTTAAGGGTTTTTCTTAGGTGCCTTAAATACTGTTGTTGACAGAAAGGCAGCATATAAAGGTCTGTCAATGTTAGACATACTCTGAGGAGGAGACCTAATGCGATCAATAAGGGTGTATTGTTTTTATTATGGTACGTATTTTTTATATATATTGTACACCACCCTGTATTCTTCGGATGGAAGGTGGCATAGAATTTAATAAATAATAATAAGTGCATTAATTTCAATGGGTAGAACTTAGATGGATGCATCCCATTTAGCTGTGATTTCTGCATTGGCTTCCTTCCCACTCTACATTTTAAGTTTACATCCATTTCTTAAGAGAATGAACGAAAACAAACCCCAAGATCAAGCAGGCGAAATAAATGAAGCGAGCCAAAAATAAGCTTTTCCTCCTGCCAATTCCCTGCCTCCCAATTGCACAGGAGGTGAGGTGGAGGAGGGGGGACTTCTCTACAGTTGTACGCCTAAACCATGCACTCTGCACATGCTTAAGGGAGTAACGCTCTCACCTTTAGCTTTCTTCCTCCAGGGGTTAAAAGCATGTGGTCGGAATAAAGCTTGGAAGAAATTAAAACACACACACACACATACACACGAAGAAACACACACGACACTCCCCCCCCCAGTCCCGCCACGGCCCCAACCAACCTCCCCCTAAATCCAGTCGAGCAGAGCCGCCACCTTCAGGCCTGTGTGCGCTTGTGTATCTGCCGGGCTCGTCTCCATGGCAACCCAGCTAGGCCGCGGCCTCCACTTGGAGGCAGAGCATGTGAAGGAGGAGCGAAGCCAGCCCTCCGGTGACCATGGCAACCGGATAGGCCCAGCTAGGCCACCGCCTCCGTCTCCATGGCAACCAAGAAGGCTGGGCGGCGAGCTTTCGTTTCTCCCCATTCCGCCTTGACAAACCGCCTTTGCGATAAGGGAAACCTTTGACAAACCCCACCTCTCCGCAGTGATCATCTGCACTCACACGTGCGTTTTATTTGCCTTTATTCCCCGCCCCTTTCCCCCTGCAAGTTGCCCGCCCAGCATGGTATCCTCACGCCCAGTTTCATCCTCACAACGACCCTGCGAGGTGGGTTAAGCTGAGAGGCAGGAGCTTTAAACCTGAATAGGGATTCGATCCTGCGTCTTTCCAGTTCTAGTCCAGCAAAGTGGCCACAATAAAGTGACTACAGTACAGCTTAGTGTAAGGTTCCAGGGAGAGGCTTTAAAGGCAGGTGTAATTTCACTGTGAAGCAGGTTGCATTCATGGTTCAAATTCAGTGGTGCCAGAGTACAGTACTTGGTAAAGCATCCTGACTTGTGGGCAGAAGCAGCCCCCACAGGGCTGGGGACAAACCATAACTGAAAGCACTGAGAGATGCAGCTAGTCAATGGAAAACACTGTCTAGCAAGACAGAAATTCAAAATTCTTACAGCAAAGCATGTTTCTGAAGCACTCTTTGATGATTTCATTATGATCTATCCTATTACTCAATGGTAAACAGCTACAAACTATTTTTAATATGGTAGTTTTGTATATGTGACCGGCCCTGGGAGGTTGTGCTGAAGGGAGGGTAAGAAATCTATTTATGAACAATTAATTAACAATTATTATGAACAGTGAGCCCCCATAGCTTAGTGGTAGAACATGTGCTTACACTGCCAAAGGTCTTGGCTTCAAAACCCCAGCAGCTCCAGGTGTTGCCGGGAATGGGCTATCTGAAACTGTGGGGAGGTGCTGCCAGTCAGTGTAGACAATACTAAGATAGATGGACCAAAAGTCTGATGTTGTTTACCACTTCCTATGTTTAGTGCTTTCCCATAACCCATAATGAAAAATCAGGAGTCAAGGATGCTTTAGCTTTGATTCCTGCATTGCAGGGGGTTGGACTAGATGATCCTTGGGATCCCTTCCAAGTCTACAATTCTATGATTCTAGGACATGCTTCTAATGCCAGTTTTCATTCTGAAAAAAGGTTTGTCAGCTGATTGTCTCCTGTTCAGTATTACATACTGCTGAGAAAGCTGTATTGATGCTGCAACTGCCTCTTCTGCACCAAGTAAGTGATTTATGCATTTATCAGACATAGAACTTTTTTTTTATTGCAGCCCTGTGTGTCTTCACAGCATTAGCAAAATGCAGTGACAGATGCAATGACACATATATAAAGAAAAGCAGTTGAACTAGAGTTACTAGCTGCTGTCTATGCTTACCTCCAGTAGTTAGGAAAGTCCAAGGCCCTCTACAGTATGAGACCAAAAAGCAAAATATTATAGCTTCTTCAGGAGCAGCGTGTAAAATGGCAAGCTGTGTCTTAGTGTTTATGTACATGAAGCCCAGGACACAGCCTCTCCCTCCAGCCTCAGAGATTTAACTACCAGGAAAGATAGAGGGCTAAACTTGGGGGAAGGGGAGGAAATGATGATTCTGGCCAATTCACATCCATAATAAAATAAAAATAAAATAAAATAAAATGAAGGGTGCTATATTGGGGCAGAGACCAGAAAATCAGGGACTGTAGGAGCACATGCTTATTATTGTACTTTGCAAAATGTGTGATGCCCTTACACATTGCTAAAAGAAACTCCAGGTTAGACAACACACACATCACACACATTCTTTTTTAATAAAAAGAACGCCCACCCACAGCATCCCAACTCTGACATATTACATATTGAAACATTTTTTTATTTACAATACAGTAGCTAAAAAATTCAAAAAGGCTGTGTGTTAGAAAACCAGACTGTCATCTTCCTGTGGGAACCTGAAGTATCTTTGGTTGCTTTGGGGGGGGGGCACTAAAGTTTACTCCTTTAGCAGCAGTAAACTTTCCTCTGTCTCCGTAACATTTTATTTCTCCGTGACGGATAGATATACGGTATATGGCACCTGTGCATTCTGCACATAATCTAAAATCTGGTGAAAAGAGAGCCTTTGATAGCTCAGTGAACAGAAACTGCCAAAGTAAAGATGTAACTGTGTCAAGCATCTGGAGAAACCATTTAAAAATGACTGCCGAAAGAGGAATACAAAAATGTGTCATAATGTATATATATAAAAGTTCCCTATTGCTATAATTCAGGTGCATCCTGGTGCAGGGGTGGGAAACCGCCAGCCCAGACCAAGGCAGGCACATGAGACCTCCCCATTTGGCCCGTGGGGCCATTACAGTCAAGCCATACCCACGTGTCCTACACTAGGCATATTTTGTGATGTCATGTGATTGACAGGTGAACAACCTCTTCCTCCTGTCACAATTTCCCCCACAGGGAGTGGGACTGAAAAGGATCCAGCCCACTGACCAGATCTGAATTTCATTACATTGGACATAAGAGGATTCATTTGTGCTTTGTTTTCACCAAGGCAGCAGACCGGTCGCCTGGCTTCACTTCAGGACAAGGCTCTCATGCCGAGAGAAAAAATAAAATCCTACATATAAAAAACCTCTAGCATGTCAAAAAGAAGCTTAGGCAAGCATCCTCTCTCTGGCAGACTAGTATTATATGCACGAGGAAATTAGTTTCTAAAATGGGGAAACATTTGACACAAGACCCAGGATCTAGCTTGACGTGTCCCATACTGATCCACCTCATTCAAAGAGTCACCAAAATAGGTGTGCGGTTCGCCCCGGCTTTTTTTAAAGCCACAAACCTGACATTGCCACAGAAATCAAGTTTTTAATTATGTTTTTGGTCAGCAGTCCATACAGTTGCCTCAAGTCTCTTCCCGGTTCTCTGTGTGCTTATTGGGAACCTCATCGTACTGGGGCGGAGGGGTCAGAGGCTCTATTGTTATCCGCCCCGTGTTATTTCCAGCAGGGAGGTCTAAGTTGAGGTTTTTTAGGTGTAGCTTTTCGGACATGATCCTCCGGACTTTCAAGGGTTTGAGTCTTTTGCTCAGGCGGGAACTGTGTCTGCTAGGCTGACGTTCAATGTTGGGCCTTTCTTCGGCGGCAGCAACGGGCCTGGTCGGCGTGGTTTCATCAATCCCAGTGAGAGATTCGTAGGAGGGCAGAGACATACTGATCCTTGCGCTTCTGTCTATGTCGCTGAGCTCAGGGTGCCCTGTGTTCATGACCTCTTCGTAACTGGGCACATAGTAGCGAGAGGGCGTCTCCTCATCCTCTTCTTGACTGCAGAGGGAGAATTTAGAAGTAATCATTGTCTCGCATTAGCACTACCTCATTCAGGTTACGATATCCCAAAAGCCAGAAAACTCACTGGCTGGTATTTTATTTTATTTAAAATATTTTTTATCCAGCACGTCTCACTAATGTATTAAGCCTTGCACTATTAAGACTGTTCAAAAAAAACCCTGCAGTTCTGCTGTTTGCCAACGCCACAAAAACATGGGCCAGAGGCAAAGATACTCATGGAGCTTTTCCTTTTATTTCTTAACATAGGAAGATGAGAACAAAGCTACCAAGTCACAGAACACATGGGCAAGTGGATGGCTCTGTTGGTAGACCATGAGACTCTTAATCTCAAAGTCATGGGTTCCAGCCCCATGTTGGGCAAAAAGATTCCTGTACTGCAGAGGGTTGGACTAGGCGATCCTTGTGCCCCCCTTCCAACTCTACAATTCTATGGTTCCATCTGTGAATACAGAGGTGATATGATTTTACTAAAACTTTGAGGCTTGGTGCCTCAGAAACATGTCATTTTTATGGTTCAGCCAATGGAGAAAGATGGGATCTGTGATTGGAGGAGATTGGGGGAGGGGACCTGTGAAAAATAATGAATTTCAATATTGGTTTACAGGATCCAATGTGTGTTTATCTTTCCTTCTCCCTCTCCCTCTTGCCTTCTCTCCCTCTTGACCCCTGTAGCACCCCACCTTATTCCTCCCCCTAACAAAGCCACCCTTTTTCTGGAGAAAGTAATTCCCATCACCCCTGACCACTAGTCATGCTGGAAGGGGCTGATGGGAATTGTAGCCAACATCTGGAGAGCCACAGGCTCTCCATCCCATATATCAATAATTTGCTTGCAAGGCCTGATCGTATCTGGTCTTGCAATGATCTTCTCACCTGTCTTCCTGTGGCTGGTGCTCAACCGAGACTTGCTGCCGTATCCTAGAGATGCTGTCACTTTCCCTTTGCTTCATTCGGTCACGGACACTCAGACAAATGGAGAAAAGCAAGAGCAAGACCCCAGCACCAGCCAGGACGTAAGCCACCGAAAAAGTATTGCTTTTATACGTATTTCCTCGACCACCGTCTGGCTTGCTGCTGTTTCCGACTGAGTGTGGCTTCCCACTTGGGCCAAATCCGGGGACCAAGTTCCAGACAGCCATAATGATCCCGAGAACAAGCATCCCCAACCCTATTGCCGTCAAAGCATAGTGAGATCCGTTCGACCTGGAGTGGGCCATCATGTTATAATGCTGGGCCCCCTTGTCCTGGGCACGGGGATGGGGTGCGGGTGGGCAATTCAGAGCATATCTTCCATAAATCAAAGAACAAGGTCCAGGAATGGCTCCAGTTTGGGTTCCTTCCAAATACCTGAGTTTAAAATGAGACCTGGAGAAAGAAAGGAGGATTAAGAAAATTTTTAAATGACATAATTTACAATGAAAAAATCTTACCCCCTCCTTTCCATATCAGTTAGGTGATTTTTGCAAGCCATTTTCTTCAACTTATTTTTCTGCATAATTTCCACTAATATATGCATTTTGTGTGTGCGCACTTTTCACTGATACACATTTGTGTACACAGCTTTTGGCAGTAGACCTATATTGCAAAATCTGGAGAAGCATGAATTCAGAAGCACACCTGCACTTTGCTTCACTTCACACTGGCCTGAGTAGTTCAAATCAGGCCAAGTAATTTTTTCTTTTATTCTTACCTTCCCCTACCATCATCCCTGACCCTCAGCCATGTTGGCTGGGGCTGGTGGGATTTGGGAGTCTGAAAACATCTGGATGGGACCCACATTGGCAACCTCTTTTGAACTCTGCAAAGCTGCCTGAATTTTTTTGCGCTGGGAAAAACAGGACAGAAATACTTTAATTTAAAAAATAAATACAGTGGAACCTCCGTTTTCGAATGTAATCCTTTCTGGAAGCCCATTCGAGCTCTGAAATGTTTGAAAACCGAAAACTCAATACGGAAGCCTCAAAATGGAAAAAATAATATGAAAAACTCAATACGGAAGATGTCTTGGAAGTCAAAGTTCAAAAACAGAAACATTTACTTCCAGGTTTATGGTGTTTGGGTTCTGAATCGTTCGTCAATGGAGACGTTTGAAAACGGAGGTTCCACTGTAAATCAATCAATCAAGGCTCTGTGGAAAAGGCGTATTTTGGAGAGGGATCTGAAGGAAGTTAGAGAGTTTGGAGGGCCACTGATAGCAGCAGCAGCTGTTGCTGCCGCCTTCAAAAACTACCACAGGCTCGGCACTTCCTCGGAGGTAACTAATTGCATATCTGCTAATTAGCTAGCTAAGGTAAATACACTTTAGCTAAACACCCAACACTAGTTGCTCCTCCTGGAATAGCCATCAACCCACTGTTTAAAGATGGGAGTATAACAGAGAGGAGGCACGTCTTAAGGGCTATAAAGGGAGAGCTGATGGAAAACTACAAACTCAGGATAATTCCAGTTTGCTTGTTGGTGCTGCGTTTGTGTGAATCGCAGCAAAGAAGTTCCTAGGCATGTGCTCCACGAAGAGATGGACAAATCTGTCAATTTCACAGTCTCTCGGCATCTCGTTTTTTTCCACCATTGGTGCATGGGATTTCTAAAAGGTAAAGGTAAAAAGGTACCCCTGCCCATACGGGCCAGTCTTGCCAGACTCTGGGGTTGTGCGCCCATCTCACTCAAGAGGCCGGGGGCCAGCGCTGTCCGGAGACACTTCCGGGTCACGTGGCCAGTGTGACATCGCTGCTCTGGCGAGCCAGAGCCGCACACGGAAACGCCGTTTACCTTCCCGCTAGAAAGAGGTCCCTATTTATCTACTTGCACCCGGGGGTGCTTTTGAACTGCTAGGTTGGCAGGCGCTGGGACCGAGCAGCGGGAGCGCACCCCGCCGCGGGGATTCGAACCGCCGACCTGACGATCGGCAAGTCCTAGGCGCTGAGGTTTTACCCACAGCGCCACCTGCATCCCTGCATGGGATTTCTACCACTTTCCAATTTTTAAGACCTGTCAAAAATTCGTCAGCATTTTGCCCTGAGGCACACAGTCCTGTCCCTTACATGCAATTTTGCTGAATATAGTTTTGTATATTATTTTCATGAATATGTTCATTTTTACCTTCACTTTCCAACTATTAACACATTTTTTGGTTGAACAAGTAGATGGCAAAATTCTGAGAAGTGCAAATTTCAAAGGACTGCCGTTTTTCAGATCTCATGACTTAAAAGTGATTTATATTAAACAAATAATGTTTTTCTCCCTTCTCTCGAGCAGGGGGCTTTGGGAATGTGGGTATCATTGACATGTCCCTATTTTATACCTGTGAAATGTTGGAGGCCACAAAAATGGTGCATGAAACACCATTATAATAAAAGGAAAACCAATGCAAGAACAATATACTCATTTATCTATAAATGCCCTCTATTTTTTACATTTTGTTGTGAGTGCCAGTGCTCTGGGCAGCCAAAACAGCACCATCCACTCATAAGAGGGAGGTATCAATAAGCTATGGGATACCCCAACAGTCACAGAAGTTTGTTTGTTTTTTAATTGCAAAACAGCCTAGCAAGGGCTGAACATGATCAGTGAGCAAGAGGGGAAGGGAGATTTGAATGTAGCATCCTGGGAAAGTGCCTGGTAGGAATTGTGTACAAGGGCCAACCCATGCTGCAACATTTTGTTACTAGTCCCTCTGGTAATAATTCACATCCCACATCATCCACCCAAGTATGGTGCTCAGATGCCAGACAAGATCTACAACATTTTAAACTTGAATGTAAGAGTATAAACAAACACCACATTAGTACAGTGGTACCTCGGGTTAAGTACTTAATTCGTTCTGGAGGTCCGTACTTAACCTGAAACTGTTCTTAACCTGAAGCACCACTTTAGCTATTGGGGCCTCCTGCTGCTGCCGCGCCGCCGGAGCACGATTTCTATTCTCATCCTGAAGCAAAGTTCTTAACCTGAAGCACTATTTCTGGGTTAGCGAAGTCTGAAACCTGAAGCGTATGTAACCTGAACCGTATGTAACCAGAAGTACCACTGTATAGGAAACTACCTGACTAGCTGAGGCTGTCCAGGGCTTCAGGCAGAGTTGTTGTCTCCCAGCCCAACCTGGGGTTGCTGAAATTTGAACCTATAATCTTCTGCATGCAAAGCAATTATTCTGCCACTGAATGAAGCCTTTCCCTGCATATAGATGAAGCAGAGCATAGCAATGGAAGAACCTGT